GCCTCAGCCTCAGCCTGCCTCAGCCTCAGCCTGCATCAGCCTCAGCCTCAGCCTGCCTCAGCCGCAGCTTGCCTCAGCCTCAGCCTCAGCCTCAGCCTCAGCCTCAGCCTGCCTCAGCTTCAGCCTCAGCCTCAGTCTGCCTCGGCTTGCCTCAGCCTCAGCCTCAGCCTGCCTCACCTCAGCCTCAGCCTCAGCCTGCCTCAGCCTCAGCGTCAGCCTCAGCCTCAGCCTCAGCAGCCTCAGCCTGCCTCAGCCTCAGCCTGCAGCCTCAGCCTCAGCCTCCTCAGCCTCAGCCTCAGCCTCAGCCTCAGCCTCAGCCTCAGCCTCAGCCTGCCTCAGCCAGCCTCAGCCTCAGCCCTCAGCCTCAGCCTCAGCCTCAGCCTGCCTCAGCCTCAGCCTCAGCCTGCAGCCTCAGCCAGCCTCAGCCTCAGCCTGCATCAGCCTCAGCCTCAGCCTCAGCCTGCCTCAGCCTCAGTCTCAGCCTGCCTCAGCCTCAGCCTGCCTCAGCCTCAACTTCAGCCTGCCTCGGCCTCAGCCTGCGTCAGCCTCAGCCTCAGCCTGCCTCAGCCTCAGCCTGCCTCAGCCTCAGCCTCAGCCTGCCTCGGCGTGCCTCAGCCTCAGCCTCAGCCTGCCTCGGCCTCAGCCTGCCTCGGCCTCAGCCTGCCTCGGCCTCAGCCTGCCTCGGCCTCAGCCTGCCTCAGCTCGGGCATTCAAAATATGGCACAGTACTGGTGTTCTGGGAACACGAAGATCACGAAGTGGCCCACAGTTGGCTCTGGGCAATCAAAATATGGTACAGGAATTGTGTTCTGAGAACACGAAGATCACGAAGTGGCCCACAGCTGGCTCTGGGCAATCAAAATATGGCACAGGACTGGTGTTCGGGGAACACGAAGAACACGGAGTGGCCTACAGTTGGCTCCGGGCATTCAAAATGTGGCCTGGGAGTAGTGTTCTGGGAACGCGAAGAACACGAAGTGGCCCACAGTTGGCTCCGGGCATTCAAAATGTGGCCTGGGAATGGTGTTCTGGGACAACGAAGAACACGAAGTGGCCTACAGTTGGCTCCGGGCATTCAAAATGTAGCCTGGGAATGGTGTTCTGGGAACGCGAAGAACACGAAGTGGCTTACAGTTGGCTCCGGGCATTCAAAATGTGGCCTGGGAATGGTGTTTTGGGAATGGGTTCCAAAGGATGCGTAAGAATTTCTAAGGATTCCTAAAGATTCCTGGGGCTGCACTTTTGTCCAGATCTGTCCAGATCCCGCCTCCGGATCCTGCCCAGACCCCCCTGGGGCGTCAAGATGCTCTCTTTTGAGCCCACTAGAAACCGATCAGCACAAGCTGTTAGGTACAAATTGTAGCGAGGACACACTGGATTTATTTGTATTGGATTTGCGCTTGGAATCGAGACTGTTGCGACCGCACGCACATTTCTTCCAAGAGAATCGTTTACCTTTTGGATTCGGCCTCAGCTGGATCAATACTGTCTGAGTCCAACAACGCCTCAGCACCAATGTGAATCTGAACACTGCCGGGACCTTGCCAGTGAACACCTGGCACGCAGAGCACAACAGCATCGATAAACCTGAAAGTTGATCGAGGCAAGCATCACCCTCACCCTTCCAACCCTCCTCCCTCCAACATGTCCCAAATCTTGCAGCGAGGACAAACTGGATAAATTTGTGTTGGGTTTGCGATAAGAGTCGAGAATGTTGCGACCATTCGCGCATTTACTGCTCGAAGGCCATGTCTTGACTGCTGGATTGGGCCTCGGAGCCCGATCAACACCACCCGAGTCCAGCAACGCCTGAGCACCACTGTGAGTGTGAGCACCCCGTCGCCTGTGAACGCCACATTGCCAGTGGACACCACTGCTGACAAGCAGCTCAAGTACGCAGAGCACAACAATGTCAATAAACCCTGAAAGTTGATTGATGCAAGCTTCTCCCTCATCCTTTCACCCCTCCTTCCCCCAACGTGCCCCAAAAGTTGCAGCGAGGACGAAGTGGACGGATTTGCATTGGATTTGCGATAGCAATCGAGACTGTTGCGACAATGCGCGCATTCACGGCTAGAAGGTCGAGTTTTTACTGCTGGTTTGGGCCTCGGAGTCAGGGTCGAACCAAAACAAATACTACTTGGCAAACAAACGGAAGCCGGAGAATTCATTCAAAACAGATGAGTTCCAATAGGAACCAGGGCCGAACAAGCGACACAAGCAAATAGTAACCCTGACGGGCGGCGTGGTTCCCAAATGTCCGTGTTTGGGGGGTGACAGCAGTATGTCCCCCCGGGAATGGTGGCGGTGTCTCCCCCCGACACGTCCCCTTCCCGCAGGGGGGGAGCGCCGCCCCTGGGGCCTCTCCTTGCTGAAGGGAGAGCGGTCGGCCAGACCTAAACGCGGCCAAGCGTGGCCAGCGGCGAGGCGAGAACACATGTCGTCGTGGTCGTCGTCGACGCGGCCGTTGGGTTCCAAGCGCATTTTCAAGGAAGTCTTAAGCGAAACGCTCTTCTTTTCCAACCGTTTGGAACTGGATGCTATTGTTTCGAACCGACGTGGAACCGTCAGAACAACACTTTGTATGAGGATGTCCCACGCGGTTTGCCGTTTTCGAACCGCCATCCCATTGTTTCGAACCGAGTTGAAATCGTCGGAACAACAATTTGTGTGAGGATGTCCCACGCGGTTTGCCGTTTTCGAACCGCCATCCCATTGTTTCGAACCGACGTGGAACCGTCAGAACAACAATTTGTGTGAGGATGTTCCACGCGGTTTGCCGTTGTTGGACCGCCATCTTTTTGTTTCGAACCGGGTCCGACGCCTTATTTTGGAGGAAGTCCCACGCGAAACGCTCGTTTTGGTTTTTGTTTTGAACCGGATTCTTTTGTGTCGAATCGAGTTCGAACCGTCAGGACAGCCAGTTTTGTGAGGGTGTCCCATGCGGTTCGCTATTTTCGAACCGCCATCCCGTTTGGCGTAATAAAGTTCTAGTTAGGGTACCAACCTCAGGTTGCCTTCTGCCCCGGTTGCGAGGCACCTCCCTCGTAACATTGTATTAGGCTCCACGTCCCTAGCGGGGCGACTAGCGACGTGCGCTCGCATTGTGGACCAAGGGAGGATGCACTTTGTCGACAACATGGGGCAATCTTTCATCACGGCACAGTAATAATAAGAATAACAAGGAAGTAAGAATAATAATAATAATAATAATACTAATAATAATAATAAGAAGAAGAAGAAGAAGAAGAAGAGGAGGAGGAGGAGGAGGAGGAGGATAATTACAAAAATAAGAAAAACAACAAACATGATAATACACATTCCCCAACAGTGGTTGCACTTGGGGTTCTTAGCCACTTCTGTTCCAAAGGAATTGGATGGGTTCAGCGAGGATTCTCCACTTTCCTTGCCGTGGTCGCCTCGTTGCCTCCTCTTTGCCGCCCGTTGCCGCTCAGGGGGTTAGCGAGGATTCGCCACGTTCCCTCGCGTTGCCGCCCGTTGCCGCTTAGGCGCCTCGTTGCCGCCCGTTGCCTCCTCGTTGCTGCCCGTTGCCGCTTAGACGCTCTGGCGAGGAATGGCCGTTCCCTCGCGTTGCCGCCCGATCCCGCCTCGTTACTGCCTCGCTGCGGCCTCGTCGCCGCTTCGTGCGCTGGGTGGGTGTTCCGAGGATTCGCCACGTTGCCGCCTCGTTGCCGCCCGTTGCCGCCTCGTTGCTGCCTCGTTGCCGCCTCGTGCGCGGAGTGCCCGTCCCGAGGATCAGCCGCGTGCCTGCCACGTTGACGCCACGTTCACGCACGTTGCCACCTCGTGCGCCACGTGAGTTTCCCAAATATTCACCACGGTGCCGCCCGTTGCCACCTCGTTGCTGCCTACTTTCCGGTTGGGGTGTTTGGCGAGGACTTGCTGCGTTCCCGCCCGTTGCCGCTTTGTGCGCTGGGTGGGTGTCCCGAGGATTCGCCATATTGACGCCCGTTGCCGCCTCGTTGCCGCCTCGTCGCCGCCTCATGCGGTGGGTCCAGCGAGGACTCGTCACATCCCCGCCCGTTGCTGCTTGTTGCCGCCTCGTTGCCGCCCGTTGCCGCTTAGGCGGTCTGGCGAGGATAGGCCACGTTCCCTCCCGTTGCCGCATTGTTGTCGCCTCGTTGCGGCCTCGTTGCCGACTTCTGCGTTGGGTGGGTGTTCCGAGGATTCGCCACGTTGCCGCCCCGTTGACGCCCGTTGCCGTCCCATTGCCGCCTCTTGCGTTGGGTGGGAGTCCCGAGGATTCTCCGCGTTCTCGCCAGTTGCCGCCATGTTGACGCCCGTTGCCACCTCGTTGCCGCCTCGTGCGCTAGATGGATGTCCCAAATATTGGCCATGGTGCCGCCCGATGCCGCCTCGTTTCCGGTTGGGGTGTCTGGCGAGGATCCGCCACGTTTCCGCCCGTTGCCGCCTCGTTGCCGCCTCGTGCGCTGGGTGGGTGTCCCGAGAATTCGCCGTCTTGCTGCCCGTTGCCGCCTCGTTGCCGCCTCGTCGCCGCCTCATGCGTGTCCCGAGGATTCGCCACGTTGCCTCCCGTTGCCGCCTCGTTGCCGCCTCATACGCAGGGTAGGTTTCCGGAGGATTCGCGACGTTGCCGTCTCGTTGCCGCCTCGTGTGCTCCCTCATCCAGTGGGGAGACGCGGAGCGTGAGGAATACGAAAAGTTGGGTCTCATTTAGTGGAACCCCGTGTTTTTGTCGGCGTTTCCGTGGACGCGAAGCGTTGCAACATAGCTTCCACCACAAAGTTTCCACCACGTAGCTTCCACCACAAAGCTTCCACCACATAGCTTCCACCTCCAGAGTGCGAGAACTCGCTGTTTGTGGCCCGAGCTGCCAAACATTGCACGAGCATGAGTTTTCGGAGCTCCGCGCGGATGTCTCTGATCGGCGCTGGGCTCCGCGCGCCGGGGTGGCCAGCGCCGACTCAAGAAGTCCGCATGGACCTTCGTGCATCTTCTCCTGGGGTCCAGGGTCCCAGGTACCTGCTGGCCGCCCCGCTGCCCGCACGGGTCGCGGAGGGCCTGGGGATCGCGGGCCTCGACGTGCAGGCGGGCGGCGTCGGAGAGAAAGGGGGATCGGCCGCGCACGAGCATCTCGCCCGCAGACCGCCACGCGTGAGATCGCGCCGTGGGCGCCCTCCTCTGCCACGCGGTGTGCCACGCAGTGCGGCCTGCGGAAGCCTCCACGTAATCGTCGTGTCTTCGCGCGCGCAGTCGAGTCTGATCAGCAGGTCGACCCTGCACAGCCAAGGGCCAAGGGTGCCCTGCTTCTCTGTCCTGTCTACAGCGTTCCATGCCCTCTTCGTGTCTGGAACACGCGATGCCCTCAAAAGAGACGTGTGTCCTCCTGTCAGACCTCCTCAGTCAGACCTCTTCAACCAGACCTCTTGTGAGACTTGGGGGTCCTCTACAACCAGTCCTGTCAGACCTCTTATCTCGGGCTTGCACGCAGGAGTAAGGACTAGGGGTTTGTGGATATCATGGCCGGGGCCATGATGTCTCCCAGATTCCATGCCCCCCCTTCTCTTTTCAATGCGTTATCCGTAAGGGCTTCGCCCCCTGCCGCCGGCCCCCTCTGTATTATAATGGGATATATTAGAGTCTCGTCGGTGCTTCTTGGCGCTGCCTTGGCGCATCGGGGAGCCTCATGCGGGTGCGGGTAGGAGTCATCAGCGCATATTCAGACGTTGGCGTTATCGAAGACGCCTACGGCGAATCACCGCCGCCCCCTGCCTTCTAGAATCGCCCATCTGGCCGAGCGTTGTGGCAAGCGCTCTGCCAAGCTATCGGACCATGTGTTCCCCCACCCGTTGTGGAAACCCTTCGGGGAACACTTGGGGGAGGATGGCGGGGAAGATCAGGAGGAGGCGGAGGAGGACATGGAGGAGGAGGAGGAGGAGGAGGAGGAGGAGGCGGAGGAGGAGGAGGAGGAGGGAGCATCTTGGGAGCCTCTGGGGACACTCTTGGGGCCTTCTGGGAGCTTCCTGGGAGCCTCTTGGAGGCATCTTGGGGGCCTCCTTGGGGGCATTTGGGGGCTTCTCGGGGGCCTCTTTGGCCGTCTTGGTTTGCTCCTGGCCCGTCTGACGCCGTCCGAAGCCGTCTTGGGGGCCTCTCTGGGCCGACTTGGGGCCCTCTTGGGGTTCTCCAGGGCCGTCTTGGAGGCCATCTTGGGCGTTTTGGAGGCCTCTTGGGCCGTCTTGGGGCCCTCTTGGGGCCGTCTTGGGGGCCTTTTGGGCAATCCTGAGACCATCTTGGAGGCATCTTGGAGGCATCTTGGGCGCTCTGGGGGCGATCTTGGGGCCCTTTTGGGCTGTCTCGGGCTGTCGGAAGGCAGAAAAGGAGCACATACGAAAATCCTTCAAAATCTATGGAAAATCAATTACTTTGGGCCTCTTCGGGCACTCCTGGAGAACCGCTTGGAAGCATCTTGGACCGTATTCGAGACTTTCTGGAGGCGTCTTGGGCCGTCTTGGAGGTTTCTTGGGCAAACTTGAAGGCATCTCGGACTTTCTTGGGCCGTCTTGGAGGCCATCGTGGACCATCTTGGGCGAACTTGGAGGCCATATTGGCCATCTTGGAAGCCATCTGGGAGCCATCTGGAGCAGGAAAACCTTTTGGAACCACCCTTTGCGGGCCATTCCGGGACCCCGGCGGGCTGGGCCGGAGCCCCAGGGGGAGTTCTTTTGGAAAAAGAGCCAAACCCAAAAGCGAAAGGATTCAGCACGCCGGGCACCCCTGTATTGAATCAACAGGGGGCGGCGGATCGAAGACGCTTACGGCGAATCACCGCCGCCCCCTGCCTTTTTGGAAGCGCCTGCGTGGCCGAAAGTTGGATTTGAGTTTTGCCAAGCTATCGGGCCACGCGTTCCCCGAGTGGGTTTCGAAAGCTTTCGGGGAACATCGAGTCGGGCGAGCTATCGGACCAGGTGGTTTCCAAGCTTTCGGGCCTTCCTGGAGGACGTCTTGGAGGTCTCTTGGGCCGTCTTGGAGGCCTCTTGTGGGCCTTTTGGGCAGTCTAAGGCCATCTTGAGGCCATCTGGGGCCGTCTTGGGTACATCTTGGGGCCATCTTCGCTGTCTTGGAAGCCTTCTTGGCCGTCTTGGAGGCATCTTGGAGGCCATCTTGGCCGTCTTGGAGGCCATCTTCGGCGTCTTCGGGGCCATCTTGGGCTCTTCTTGGGGCCCTCTTGGAGGCCTCTTGGGCTGTCATGGGGCCATCCTGGAGACCTCTTGGGCGCTATTGGGACGATGTTTGGGGCCTCTTGGGCCGTCTTGGGCCGTCGGAGAGCTGATAAGAAGTTGATGCCCAAATCCTTCAAAAACCTAAGGAAAATCAAGCATGTTAGCCCTTTCGGGCCTTCCTGCCGGACGTCTTGGATGCCTCTTGGGGGCCTCTTGGCCAGTCTTAGGCCATCTTGGAGCCATGTTGGGCCGTCTTGGAGGCTTCTTGGACGAACTTGAAGGCATCGTGGACTCTCTCGTGCAGTCTTGGAAGCCATCTTGGACCATGTTTGGCGACTTGGAGGCCATCTTGGAGGTCATCTTGGGCCAACGTGACCATCTTAGAGGCCATCTTGAGCCGTCTTGGAGAATTTTTTGTGGTCGTTGAGGTGGTTTCTGGGACCCTGGCGGGATCGACCGAAGCCCCAGGGGGAGTTCTTTTGGAAAAGAACCACAACCAAAACCGAGAGGATCTAGCACGCCAGGGATTTCAAAGTGAGCTGGGACAAGGGCGAGAGATGGCGAGCGTTTGTCGGCGGCCGTTTGTGTTCAAGCGGCCGGCCGCCAACATGTGATTGCGCCTCATTGCGAGGCAGATTCCTTGCCATCGAGACCGAAAACATCCTTCGCTTGAGATGGCCCGTCGCTCCCGCGACGACCTCCTCCGACTGGGACTATCGCTACTGCGGTACAACAGAGCTGGAGCTGCGCTTCGCCTAAGGCGAAGCTTCTGGACGGGCCTCCCTGCCCCTTCAAACTTGGTAGCGGAGCTGGCCTATGGTGGTCAGCTCTTGCTCTACTCCTCACCATCCACGGCACTATCTGGTGGACTACTGACATGGTGGAACGTCAGCGTGCAGTGGGTTTGCGCAGAGGGTTGTACATAACTACGCACAACCGCAAGGACACTTGCAGTGCTACCTCTGCTCTCGCGGAGGCCTCTTGCTCGAGTCCTAAATCCCTGCGCTACTACACTCCTGAAGTCCACCCACCTACTCCAGGTGGAAGCTTTTTTTCGAAGATACCATACATGGCAACATGCGATCTGATATTGTGCCGCCTCCACCCCCGCGCAGGCTTACAACAAAACATCACAATCCTCAGCCACCAACATCCGACCACGACCTACGGGGCCATTGGGTTGGTATTGCTATCTTCGGTCCCATGTGGGTTGCTATCGGGCGTGCTGTGGGACACATGCGTGGCGGAGACGACACAAGAACAACCGGACCCCACTGGGACCCGGCCGGTCAAGTACCTTTCCGTGAAGTTGTTCGAGAGGTACATGCCTGGATCAACGTGACCACAGGCACTATGACGCCCTCCCAGCAAGCTGCAGCACTGCAGCGTGGTCTGGGAGGCCTCGCACGGACCATAGCCATGAGAGATCCCCCAGCAGTTATTAACTTTGGCGTCAACACTGGTGGCCGTCATTCTGATGGTGTCACCTACATCATGTTCCTCCTGAGCACGAAGTTTGAGAACTTAGAGGAGGAACGCCAACTTAACTCGGGAACGGGTCGCATCGACTTCTGAGTCCATGCGGGAGAACGGATCGACCAGACATTGGCACGCTTCGAGATAACCCGCTACGGGGCTGAAACGCAGGCTTTGACATCCCCAACTTCCAAATCCTAACTGTTATTTCGTTCAGAGCCCTAGGGGTGGGGACGTCGCGTGCACAACAACTCCTACAGCCACTCAACCACCAAATGCAGAAGAATCAACAGCAATTTGATTCTCTGCTTGAACGCATGAGGTCATATGCTCATATCTCTGCGCGAAGCCCTGGGGATATTGGTGGCATCTTCAGCCAGGGTCTCCGTGCCGAAACTTGTCATGCTGAAGCCAATGCAGGGCAACCTGCTACAAACGTCTGGAATGACGATCTGCAACCAACGGAGACCACCACATTATTAGCCCAACATGGTGGTTCGGCTTCGGGGTCGCAAGACTCCTGGGTCGGGTATCAGGGGCCGTCGGCAACGGCGGCCCCTGCGCAAGCCACTACCCTTGTAGACTCAGCGGGGCAACCCGTTGAGTCTGATTTCGACTCCGGAACCGACGCCGACGCGTCATCAGACGACGAAGCAACTGCCCTAGACTAATCCGACGTGCCCACGTATTTTACAGAAGAACGACAGTTTCTAGGATACCAGAAACATAAACGCAGATGGAGACGGTTTAAGAGGAAGCCAATTCGTAAGGTACGACGTACTATCCGACGAGCACTTAGGGGAAAGGGTAAGGGTCGAGGCAAGGGGAAGAGCAAACGACGGCGATTGCATGGCAGAGGTATGTTAGCGTTCCTGGCATCTCTGACTGGACCACATAATGCAGAATTATTCCTGGTCGCAGGCAGGGGCCGTAGGCGCACCTCAGGAAAAGGTAAGGGGCGCCAGGGCAACCCGAAATATGCTAACGGTTAAATAATGGAATGTGCCATCTGCCATAGCACACAACACTTCCGCCGCGAATGCCCCCAGGGCGATGGGGGAGGCAGGGGTCCGTCGATGCATTTGGCTCAAACCGACTCGGACGTGCAGTATGTCGATTGGGAAACGCCATTGGCAGACCCTGCCGACAATCCTACTTCAGTTGTCAACTTCGCGGTTGCCAGGTATCTAAGCGCCAGCATGTCCCTCGAGAATTGCGCCGATGAGCTTTTCGAGATTTGCGCTGGCCATAACGAGATCAACCTGGTAGACTTGCTCGGCATATCCATCGCGGGGCAACCGGCGCAGATCCAGTTTGTTAAGGATTTCCATATACCCGCCGACGTAGATCACGACATGGCGGGGGCACCTGCGGATTCTGAAGTCGCAATTC